TTTTATTTAATCCACTAGTGTAGATTGTTCTAATTCTGCGTGCCATGCCTTTTTGGGGATATCTCAGTTTCAGTTAATTCCCTTTAGTAATTCAACTCCCTATGTTTTTGTTCCCTCTTTTGTGGCCAGGTACTGAACTTACAAGTCTTTCGGTCCAGTCACTTGTTGAATTAGTCAACCAAAGCTTTTATTCACTCGGACATTTATTATATAATGTATGTCTATATTACCTGACTTTGTAGATAGACTAAACAAAGTGGAATATATGATAGAATTTACTTACGAAATAGAAACAATCAATAAATTACTTTTTTTAAATATTATGTTACACTGCAGTGTTAATGACCTAAAATAAGTCTCCATCTCAAATCATCGAATAAAAATGACCTCATAAATTTCTATTCTCACCATTACAAAATAAATTTCGGAATACTTATCAAATCTTATTTAAGAGAACTCAGTATTTGTAGCCCTCAATATTTACTTGATGAGGAGAAATACATTGAAAATACTTTTAAGCACCTTCAGTCAAAACATCTTTAAATTTAAAAGATTAAAATTTCAGCGTTCCCTCATCATCAGCGTTTCCTGTCAATTATAACTGATGTTAGCGTCTCATAAACACGTTAATAACTTTATTTTCGAAAAAATTATTTTTATGATTTTTTTTTATTTCGGGAGAATATTGCAATAAAGATTGTATATTTTTAAACAATACATGTTCGACTTAATGCAGTTTTGATTAAAAGAGGGCGTAATTTATTAAGGCGAAATTATATTGAAAGTGTACTAATTTCGAAATCTTCTACTATATAATTACGTACAGAATCATACAACATATCTCCCTCACTTACAAAATACAATGTGATATTATTAAAGATAATAATAATAAGGCGGTAAAATGTTAACATCTAAATATATCGGACGTCTACATTTAAATTTTAAATCTGGGCGTTTTTGTATCTTCAACGTTTGGATGTAAACGGTAACTGGAGTTTGTAGTATTTCTCCCACCATCTTTTTTCTATCTTTTTATATATGACTGTTTCCATCAATAAAACTGTAATAAATCTGAAGAAGTTCCTTCTCGAAACGAAACGTGTCATTAAGTTGTATTTTTTTCAATTTTGTCAGTGTTGTTCTTATGGCATGTTTTAAAAAATATGTTTGATAAAGTTTTTCTGTGTGATTACGCATAATTATCTATTAAGAATATTAAGTTTTTTGCTGACTCATGAAGTTTTCGTATCTCAAGTTCCGCTTGCCGCTTGAGTTTTAGCACAAACGAGAATACAAAAAGCAGCAAAAAAATATCGTGCGCGTTATTTTCAAGAAATTCAGCAAATTACGTCGAATATAAAGGGGGGCACCTGGTGATCAACTAAATATCTTGGATATCATTTGACATTGTTGTATTCCTTGTCATATAATAGCCTGTCGTTGCCAGCCTACTCAAATACCGCCAAATAGGCGATGCTGCAAACGGTCGTCTCACATTAACCGAAACTCCGTTATCGGCCCACTGATTGCGTGACTAGCAAAGGCCTTCAGCTATCAAGTTATTCTTTAGTGAATGTCTCCAAACAATTAGTATACGTGGGATGAGACCTGGTGGGGGCAGAAGCAACAGATGATGTTATACGATATCCACGGTAAGGTTTTTGCTAGCAAAATATTGTCAAGCCAGAATAATATATTTCTTGTACTTTCTCATACATTCTCGTGCCTGCTTAGTTTGGTACAATGCCACAATAGTGAAGAATATGGATCGAAATCGCAGGCAAAGACTTGCAAAATTTGCTTTGAAACAATTATATTTCGGCTTTTATTGATTTTAGAGTTTATAATATTTTACAGTAGTTTTCATTTTCGATAATCTTTTCAAGAGCAATTTGCGGATCAGGATAGAAAAATTATGCGACATATTTTAACTTGGATATTTCTACTTAGAGGAGTAATGACTTCTTAACAAAAATTAGCGACTGTATATATATATATATATATATATATATATATATATATATATAAACCATGAAATATTAGTGTTTGAGCCTCGGTCATTGACGTGTTTCTTCGAAGAATAGGTACGTAAAAATTCGCCTTGACCTCTACCGGGCGCTGATAGCTCAGGGGTAAAATCTCTGACTGATGAGCATTGATATAGCGAAACAGTTTGTCTGTGGATGATAGATAGATAGATAGATAGATAGATAGATAGATAGATAGATATGACGATATATATATATATATATATATATATATATATATATATATATAATGAATACCAGATCCGGTAATAATATATTGAATATCAGATCTGCGCACATACAATGATTAACAGATCTGATAATTAATGCCACATCTGCTCACATATAACGATTACCAGATCTGGCATATATTTGATGACCATAGATCCAACCTTTCCTAAGAGAAAGATAAAACAGCAAGCCCAACACAAATTCATAGAATGGTGATTCTTATTCTAAGAATCGTTAAATAAAACATATAGTAAAAGTTACCTCTGCGACACATCGGCTTCAAATCCAAACTGGTCGGGGAAAGTCAATACAAATATTTAGCATGTATTAAGTCAATAGCAATGGCTTACCAGATTGTCATGTTAATCATCTCTCTACGTCTGCTTATCTAGAAAACAACATTTCCTAAAAGATATGTCTCCCAAATAGATTGGCACTCTACTATCTTCCAGAAAGAAAAACAAACTTGGACAGTATAAAATTTGTATTAACTTTGAATTTTCACCCAATACAATGCTCAAGAGCCACTAATTGTTGAGAGATAGAGTCAAATAATGCTGAATGACGAGTGACCTTTACTTGAAGAGGTCATGTTCGAAGTATTCGGGGAAGCACCCATGTGGGAGTCTTTTTGAGAAAGTGATACTTCTTAGGGAAAATTCTTCTTATATTAGAAACACTGGGGTGAGTAACGCATAATAATTCAGGTAGGGTTCAGTCAGAAACAACTTTAGGTTCGGTAAGCACGTCCGCTCAGGCGGTCTCTGATTGAGGGTGTAGCCAGGGCCTTCTAATATAACACCAAAATCGCGTTGGCTATATCAGTCTACAAACCTAATAAAAAGAACCCTTTCTCGAAACCTGGTATATGCTTTTCCAATCATCATCATCATCATCATCATCAGTTGTCCCATGCATGGGCGTAGTCGTAGGGTTACTGCGCAGTGGAGTACCTGACCAGTTCCCACCACACACACACACACACACACACACACACACACACACACACACACACACATATCTGGGTTTAAAGTCGAAGAGGTATTGAATTCAGTCTAAAAAGCTCTCCGTACTGGCTGCATAGAGTATGTCCTATTGTGCAAGAAAGATGATCCGCCCTTTGACAGCCCTTGTTTTTAATCTTACTGGGTGCCTAACCACTCTCCTCACCAGAAAAGTCTAGTAGCGAAACTGGTTTTAAAAGGCCATGTTAATTTACAAAGATGAAACGTACATGCTAACTGCACCTATCATTTAATATCAAAATCCATGAGATCTATGCCTTATATAGCATCAGGATATTTATTATTATTATTATTATTATTATTATTATTATTTATTTAGATTTCTATTGTATACTTCCGGGTCCCAATCAGAGACCTCAGGTCATAAATGTAATCATGACATTTTCACTCAGCAGAGAAATTTTGAAAAAAATAAGTGACAACCTAAAACCACACACATTTAACATAAAGCTCCTTGTAAAGTGTGAGCTGTACTTGAATACATTTTTTGTATTTCTTTAAGGCATAGGCTACCATACTATTTTTTTATTATTTCCTTTGATTTCTGGTGTATACTCATTTCTTTCTGGGTCCCAACCTCAAACCTAAGTTCAGAAATGGCATCACGACATTTTCACTGAGCATTTTTTTAAAAACAAAAACAAGATCGCACACATTTACATAGATAAAGCCCTTCGTAAATGTAATCTATACTTGTGAGTAGAATCTTTTGTATTTCTTTAATTTCCCTTCAATCAATCTGAGGGTTCCAATTACAACTGAAATTATTGATGTCCTCATATGCCACATTATTTTTTAGATTTCGATTTCAAGGTCCTTGTACTTTGATAGTTTTTTGAAGATCTTCAAAGATACATTGCAGTTTGCAGGGACTGCCATGTCAGTAAGAAGGCATATTCTGTTTTCGTGGTCTCTGATCACGATGTTTGGACGATGAGTTTTGATTGTTCTGTCTGTGTGTATTGTAAAGTCCCATCAAATTGTTACAGGTCCTGTATTTGTAAGCGAGTCTGGGTGGTATTCTTGCAATTTCCTTTCCGTAAAAGTTGCGTATTTTTCAATGCAGATATTGGCCCACTTTGTCATGTCGGGTTTTATATTCAGTGGATGCCAATACGTTACAACCAGATACAAGATGATCAATTGTTTCTGGATATTTATCACAGAATCTACATTTCGGGCTAACACAATTTTTCAGTATGTGTGCTTTCAGTGTTGTTGTTGTTGTTGTTTGAAAACACAACCGAACTCGATTACCCTTGCTTAACCGATACCACCTATTTTATACCATGATATTCCCCTTCTTCTATTTCCGGTATAGTTAAACTAACAGATATTTGACTTAGCTAACATAACGCACATAGTAAATTAATATAGACTTATACTTCTATTCTGTATCAAACCCCTTAGTAAAAATTTTAAAAGTTTCAATTTTCAAAGACTAACATCCTAAAAACAACCATTTGTGGATGGTTGTATTTTCTTTTCTTTTTTTGCAGCATATCAACCTCTGTGAATTATTTAATGTAAATATTTTGTGCACAATTCCATACAAGTCCTACAAATTAACCCATAACTGCGGGAGAAGAGGTGGATTCATATTTTTCCCAAGGATATTTACGCGTAGACGAATATAATGAAACCAAGCGGAAATGAAATTCGTCTCTCCGATTAACACTTCCGAGCCATTATCCATTACACCACACGCATATCGAAGCTTACAGCAACGGGTATTCCCAAGCCGTCACCCATCTAGGTACTGGCTATGTTCGACGTTGCTTAACTTCGGTGATCGCACGGGAACCGATGTTTCAACGTTTCGTGGCCGTAAGCACTCCCATTAGTAAATGTAATAACCGTAGATTTTTCTGCCTTTCATTTTTGCAATGACGGACGAAAATGATATTTGAAAGACATTTGCGGAACTATAGTAAAATATGGGTAAAAATTATATCTAATATGCGTATAACAGCATATCTGTGAATTTGTCCGCAATTACGAAAATATATGTGCATGATTAGTGTACCATTGAATGAAGGAATGAGTTAAGAAAAGGCGATTCAAAAAATCTTACGATTGTTATTTGTTTAGATCTTGGGAAGTAGGCCAGACCTTAAACTCTACAATGTCTCATCGTATAATTATTATGACAGAACTTGAAATTTGAAAAATAGAGTTAATTCTGACTTACAAAGAACGGTGGACAATTTCAATCTATGACTTGAGCTGGTTTTGTACGAGCTTGAGCGACCAGTATAGCCGTAGATTGGCACGATGTTATTATCTGAATTTTGATCTGAAATTTTCACTATGTAATGTCCGATCTATGCAAAAAATATTCACTACTGAATTATTAACACCGACAAGGAAAGAGACAATGTTGAAAAATGAATATTTATGTAAAATAAATATTTTTCATATAACTTATTGATGTACAGCCATATTCATTACCTGATTAAAAAGGAAGGTGATTTTGTTGAAAAATTAAATACCTTATTGGTATACCTAAGTATGTGTTATGTTATGATCATTGTGGAAAATTGTTTAATTATCTAAAACCAACTTATGTTATTTTTTTATTTATTTTGTTCATTTTTACTTATTTACTTGTCAATTATTCCAAAATTTTATGATTCTTAAATTAAATAATTATTTTCTTTTTTATTTATTTGTTCATTTATTTTGGGTTATTTTATTTATTTATATGTCAAGTAACTCAAAATTTTACGACTCTTAAATTAATTATTTAAATTTATTAGTTTTATTTTTATTATTCATTTATACTTTTTTTATTTATATGCATGTCAAGAATCTTAAAATATTATGATTAATTTATTTATATTTATTCCTTTACTAGTCAAGTAACGGAAAATCATATGATCCTGACATTAAATATGCTAAGTCCATATATCGGGCAAAATTTCGATTGTTATCTTCAGAGACTCGCATGTTTATTTTGTATCTTTTACGTTGTTTATTAATAAAAATCCACTCTTTAATCGAAACAAGATTATTAAGATTATTATTGTTATTGTTATTGTTATTGTTATTATTATCATTATTATTATTATTATTATTGATCAGATTGATGTTATATAATAGAGGTTAGAAAACTTCTGATTCAATCAAAATGCACGAGTTATTCGTTTCGCATCTTTCCTTTCTGGACAAAGCGTTTCATCAACTTGAATAAATAAATAAAATTTGATCGGGTAAAGGGCAAACTTTCTGTTTCTGTTGTTTTCTTTCGTTTCAATCGCTCAGCAATGTAACTGTCAAAGAAAATTAGCTGTTGTTAGCTATTCTCTACTTCACAGCAAGGATTATTGATTCAATCAAATGCACAGCGATGTTAGTCGCGCTTTCAAGGTGTCGGTATTCTTGAGGAAAATGAGGTCAGTGTCTGAAATATAAAAAAGGTGGATTCCGAAGCTCAGCGTCCGGCTGGCTTTCTTGTTGAAATTTTTTTTTTCTATTTTCTTATGCTCTGAAGCGGGCAGAGACGTTCGATTATCGATTTTGATTATTAAAAGCAAAAATCAAACGCAGATTCAAACCTGGAGTATGGAATTGACGTCATTTTTTTCGGAGGAATCCCAGATTATGGGTCAGTATTCACAATGAGGTTTATGAAAGAAAGAAAGAAAGAAAGAAAGAAAGAAAGAAAGAAAGAATGAAGGAAAGAAAAAAGGGAAGGCGGAAAGAAAAAACAGAGAAAAGGAAAGAAATTAGAAAGTAGCAGAAAAAATTAAAAGAAAGAAAGAGGAAAATGCCGACTTTAATTTCTTTAATCATTTCACCCCTATCAAGGCGAAAAAGCCACGAAGACGCAAAAAGTGAAAGAAACCGAGAAAAAGTTGTTGAGAAGAGAGAAAAGTAAAAGAAAATATTTCAAAGAGACAGAAAATGACGATTGACATTGCATTAAAAAAATTAAGATTGTAATTGACAGTAAAGCATGAAAGCGGAAGAAAGTTCCGCAGACAAGAACTGTAGAAGAAGAAATTATTAGAACTTATAATTACATTTAGCATTTTCATCAGTAAAATGATGAGACCTAACTGCCAATCTAGTACTGCACTTAAATTCGTAAAGGCGAGGTATCAAAGAAGAAAGCTCATCAGAACAAGTGCCATGAAAATATTTATAGAAAAGCCACAGGGATGCTACGTTACGGGAAAGTGATTGGCGCCATCGTTTAGGAAATAGATGTACGTTTTTATGCAATGCATATAATATCAGTAACTATATGCTGCATAGTGTTATCTCCCTTACTCTTTTGACGATAGTTAATGGTATCTATCATGACAACGGCTGGATACTGAGTGGTGTTTACAAAGCCATCATGTGAAAAGACCGATATCGTGAAAATAATTTTAAAATTATATTTGAAAGTCATTTTGACGGCATGGGTAAAGTACTAATAGTATGTTAAAATAGACAATTTTAATATACGAAAAATTGTCAATGATGAATGCGCTTAGTAATTCAAAGATAGTTGGTAATCCACAGATCAGGAATCGAAAAGATTTACAGGGTTGACACCGAACGTTCTGGTCTCTCCAAATATACTTTTTGAAACCAATCATTTTTCAGCTTTTAAGTCATCATCATCTGTGTACCGTGTTCTTTCAGAGCGTGGGCGACTGTGGCTCTCCACAACTTCCTATCTTTTGTAGCTCTTACTAAAGTTTGTAATTTCACCATCTCTCACACTCTCTGTTCAGTTGTTCATTTACAAAAGTTTGTTATGCAAGCTATTCGCCGTTTTTTTCTGTTCCTCTTAATTTCAACCCGAGTGTCAAATTCACCAAACCCACCTTCATTATTATGTGTTCCAGAAATTTCGACTGCATCCGTTTTGTTTCTGCTTTCGTTAAAAATTTCTCGTTAATCACATTTTCATTTCATGGTATTTTCAACCTCCTTCTGTAGAACCAGATTTCTGTTGGTTCAAGTCTGTTCTTCATCTGTGAAGAGATTATCCAATACTCACTGCTATATAGAGGATGGATATTATATAACAGTTCATCACTCGCTTCGTTGTTTCTAACGACATTTTCCTGTTTCTTAATACTTTTCTTAGCTTTTGGAAGGCATCTTTCGCTATTCCAATGCACCTTCGGATTTTGGTGTCACATTTTCGATCCTCTGTTAAAACACTACCTAGATATGTAAATTTAATACTTGCTTCATTCTTGCATATCCAGCTCTGTGTGTGTGTGTGTGTGTGTGTGTGTGTGTGTGTGTGTGTGTGTGTGTGTGTGCTCTAAAAAGTGCAGTTTCGAACAACAGGCAAGTGATGTTCTTTTTTTCCCATCGTGTTAAAGGTGTATAGGAACTGTCCGAAATTCATGTTAGTCCTTAAGATTCCGAGGTTTCGACTAGTTTCAGTCATCATCAAGAACGAACGAAATTCAAAATCCAATTAATAACAGTTTATGTCTTCAAAATGATATTGAGTTTCAAACTTTTAAATATTTGCGAAATCACGCTAATGTAGTGTTATTTCTAATTTTTACAAGTTTACGATGTCGTGTGAACAAAACGTCGCGTGGATTCTGACTAAAAGTCTTATATAGGCAGGCACGGTGGTGTAGTGGATAACGGCTCGGATTGAGGAATCGGAATTCGAATTCCAGTCGAATTCATTACATTCACATACGTGCTAAAGGTATTAATCTTCTTCTTCTCCCTCTAGCTATGGCTAAATAGTAGGACAGACGTCTTTCATGCATCTGTCATTGAAAACAGCTGACAAGGAAGATTTAATTAATCTTATATTGAGTTTTTCCAGGAATTTAACATTTTTTCGTTTTTAAAAACAAATGAACTATATCGAACACACCCCTACTTCACTAAGTAGACGTCTGACATGCCACCTCTCACAGTAGAGTGTGTTTAATAACTGTTGGAAAGACTCAATAAAAGATTAATTAAATCTTCCTTGTTGGCCGTTTTCAATGAAATACACACACACACATATCATATTCTATAAAGTATTTAACATTATAGAACGCCTAATTCAGAAATATGAATGATTTCTCCATTATTGAATACTATGCTTAATACGGACAGCTCCCAATTTGTAATCTTTGTTTATTGCTTGTACAACTTCTATTAAGTATCATTAAATTCAAGTTATCTACATAAGTCCAATGTTGTTTACAAAGTCAGTTGCCCTATTGGGGCGTGTATCTCTGAAAATAGCAAAAAAGCCTGTCTATATTTCTGAGATGAGGTATTATGTACAGTATTTACATTAGTCGGACTATTGTCCTCATCTTTGTCGCCATATTTGTCACAACGTTTCGGCCGTTCAGTTCGAAATTCCAACCACCTGAAGAAGGCCGGAGCGTACAACGGCCGAAACGTTGTGATAAATATGGCGACAAAGATGAGGACAATAATCCGACTAATGTAAATACTGTAGCAAAAAAGCATCTTATATATGACATGTAACTTCCACTATTTCTCATAGACTCACTTGTCATAATTCTAACCAAAGTGTTATATGATACATAAACGCAAACATTACAACAATACAAGACAACTACTTGTAAATAGCACAATAACTCGCAGTAAAATATATTTTAAACAAAGATTGCTAATATAAAATGTGGACATTTCCTATACGGAAATTAATCCAGCAATAATAAAAATCGATCCAAAACATAATAAGCATAATTTGTCTGTTATCTTCAACAGACTTATTTGAATGGACATTTTCTGTCAAGATCCACCCAATTTAAATTACACGATCCCGGAACTCACAATATTATATCATATAACCTTTTGTTTTTGTCAAAAATATCCGTC